TAAAAAATATATAATATAAAAATATAATAAATAATTATATTAAAAAATTATAACATTAATTATTTAAAATAAAACAATAACTCCACCTCCTAATAATATTCTCTTTATAAAATAAAACATTATCCCCTCACTCATAAGGTGAAGAACATAATTTAATCTTAAATAAATAGTACCTTTCTTTGAACATTAATGGTTCTCTTTTGTCCAAGTTATGTTGGTTCTATTGCAATGTAACTGTCCATCAATCATGTGGGGTCCATTAGATTTGATTTGACATTTTATTTGTCAAAATAAGTCAATTTTTTTATAATGGGTTATTAATTATATATATATATAAAAGGTTATTTTGAACCGGATTTAAACTTTTAAATAAATTTCACAACACTGTGGAATAAAAAATGTATCTTTGTATTTAAAGGGAACCATTTCTAGGAGCTTCTCTCTAGGGTTTCCTACTTGTGATCATGAGGTAATACCTTCAGGTGGTTTTCACTATCTTCCTACTCTGGTCCTTTGCAGTTTGCAGTAGGTTTCCAATTTATTTTCTGTTCGTTGTGTAGAAATTAAGGTTGGTAGTGTTTCTGGTGGTGTTTTCATTGCTCTACCTACCACTGACCAGATTTGGTTGCCATATTAATTTCCTCACTTTCTGGGGAAATGGTAAATCAACACCCAGAAGCAAGTGGTGCTTCCAAAGGGGGACAAGACACCCCGGTCCTTCGCCTAACCACTCAAAAAACAGACCACAGTGAGCCTCACTGGTTCTCCTTTGCAGGACGTCTAATTGCGGATGAAGATGATACTAGAAGTGGGGTGGTGTATAGCATTTTAAAGAGTGCCTGGAGACCGAAATGAGGACTTGAAGTGCATGAACAGTCCAAGAATACTTTTCTTTTTATCCTTTCGAATGAAACTGAGAAAGACAGAATCTTTAGAGAGTCTCCATGGTTTGTCAAAGGGTCCTATATTGTCCTCAAAGATTGGACGACATCCCAACGTTTTGATGAAATTGTGTTTTCTCACTCAGAATTTTGGGTACAAGTTCATGGCCTCCCAAAAGGTTGCATGCCTAGGGAAAACATCCAACTCATCGGGTCACTATTTCCCCGTTTAATCTCATGGGACCAATCTACCTTGGGTGGCCTGGAAAGCTTTTACGCTTAAGGGTTGAAATTGATGTTCGAAATCCTCTTCCCACAAGTTTCCAAGTCCAACAACAGGGAGATGAAATTTGGCATGCTGAGTTTAAGTATGAAAAACTTGTTGATTTCTGTTATAGCTGCGGGCGGCTGGGCCATACCAACAAATCATGTGCTGATTTCAACCAGACAGATAATGACAGCAATCCTCCCATTCAAGTCAGGCCGCAATATGGGCCACAGTTGAGGGTTGCAGCGTATTCGCCTAAAAGGCAATTTGGCTCCATTCGGGAAGGGAACAACTATCACCAAAATCACCATGCTAAACTATTACACGAAGCCACAAACAAATCTGAGACTGGATGTTCATTACTGCCGACACACTCGGCTCAACAGAACACAGTGGTGAATGAAGAAGAACCCTCTGAACTGGGACGTGTTGAACAGCAAGAGAAGGAGCACGTGAACTTATCTACCCTTCCGTTGTCAACTCCAGCTTTTAATGAGATGGAGATGCAGTCATATAGGGGTATGATTACCACTCCTAATATTAGTGCAGAGTCCTCATCTTTGTCATATGCCACACACCAGCAAACGCCTCCTCCATTAAATGCGATGATGACCACTCTGCAGTTTTCAACTCTAGATAAACATCTACACATCCCACTTGACATCTAAGATCAGGCCATTGGACGTGTAGAAGATTGTTGCAGTGTGGAATTAGGCTTATTACTGTCCCAAAAGGTTGAAGCCCAACTCTCATTGGGTAGTAACATTTCAGCTGGGAAAAAACGAAGATGTGACACTAGGCCTTCTGTTGAAGCGGTTAAGCGGGCCTGCATTGCACACAATGAACTCCTTGGGCTACAATACTCCCCAACCCCACTACAAGACTCCCCAACCCCACTACAAGACTCCATAGCATTGGGAAGGCCCGAATCTTATCAACAGGAACAAAAAGGTGAAGTCACAGCTGTTGTAGAATCTTTCTCAGTCCATCGGGTGAGGCGCAAAATCCAATTAAAGGCATTGGCCCGCCAAGTCAAGCTCCAACCAGATCCTTGCTTGTCGTTGATCCAACCGTTCCATCCAACTCACAGACTCCTCAATGAACCCCCTGTTACCCCCATGATCTCTACTACAACTCATGCTCTAGGTAATCCTTCTACATATCTCCTAAACTCTCCATCAAGAACAACCAAGCAACTTCCTAATGCTATGACTGTTGTGGTGTCGGTGGCTGGCCCGTGGCAGCCACCCTCACTAACATGAAGATTCTTTCTTGGAACTGTCAGGGCCTTGGGCAAGCCTTGACGAGAAGGGCGCTTAATGATCTCATTATTAAACATCGCCCGTGCTTGGTGTTTTTGATGGAGACCAAAAAGAACAAGAAATACTTGGAGCAGTTAAGAAGAAAGTATGCATTTTCTAGTGGTGTGTACATTGAACCGCAAGGTTATTCGGGGGGTTTAGCCTTGTAGTGGACTGAGGATGTTCATATTTCCATTTTCTCCTCTGATAAAAATATGCTAGATGGTAGCTGTTCAGATGTTGCTTACTCTGTCTCTTGGCATTTTTCCTTTGTCTATGGGGAACCTAATGCATAATTACGACAAGCTATGTGGAGCAGAATGATGAATCATAGACGGCCTAGTTTTATTCCATGGCTAGTAATGGGAGATTTAAACCTTATTGGAAATAGTAGTGACAAGAAGGGGAAAAGACCTCCGTCGAGGATTGATAGAAGATTATATGAGGACTTGATCTGCTCTTGCTCCTTAAGAGAGGTTGCTTATAAAGGTGCTACATATACATGGGTCCAAGGCAATATTAGTGAACGACTTGATCGGGCTCTAAGTAATGATGGTTGGGGTCGTCTCTTCCCAAATGCTCAGCTTTTCCACTGCACAAGGATCGGCTCAGACCATTGCCCTCTAATACTCTGCTTAAAAGCTATTCCTAGTGTCACGAAGAAGCAATTCAAATATGAGATGAAATGGCAACTCCAAACTGGATATGAGGGACCAATGGCGCAAGGATGGTCGACCAACCGAGTCGGATCTCCCCTGTATAACATGGCAACAAAAATCTCCCATTGTAGACAGTCCCTAAACGAATGGAGCAAAGCTACCTCAGGAAATCCATATCAACAACTGGAGCAATTACAACAAGAACTTGATGCACTACAACAAAAGGAACAAACAGAATTGAATTGGTCGAGGCAGAAGCTTTTAATTGACAAAATTCACACTATCTGGATGCAAGAGGAAGCATACTGGTTTCAGAGAGCTCGTATGAGCTGGATCAAATTTGCACTACAAGCGGATGTTTCTATAGTGACGAAAATTTTCCGTCAGTATACACCCCTTTTCCGTCAGTATACACCCCCAGGGACTATTCCAACGGAAGAGCTTTCCGTTGGTGCAAACCCCGTCACTATAGGGTATATATACCGACGACTAATCCGTGGGTATAGACCCTGGGATCTATTCCGATGGAAGATTTGTCCGTTGGTATAGACCTTGAAAAATTTTAAAAGATTTATCCGTTGGTATAGACCTTGACCTTTACAGATGGATAATTCCGTTGGTATAGACCTTAAAAAATTTTAAAAAATTTTACCGTGGGTATAGACCTTTACCCTTACAAATGAATAATTCCGTTGGTATAGATCCTTTTGTTTTTTTCTTACAATTGGTAATTCACTTTTATTCTATAATTTTCTCCTGCACTTATTCTTTTGCTGTATTGATAAAACCCTAACTCATTTTATTCATATATTGAGAACAAATGGTACTCTAACCCATTTTACAATACACAAAAATCTCTATAAAATAAATTTCTCATCAAACAATACCATTTATTCATTGCCCTTTTTATCCACTACAATATAATATGGAAATTCAAATAGGAGAATCCAACTGTAAACACAGAAAATAGTAACTATGTTAAACATACTTGGCACTTATCACAGTTCTTTAGCTCCTTCTCCAACTTTTCCATTGATACTGAAAGCCTCCCAAGTTCCCCAAGCTGATTTAAGAAGAATATTCATATAAAGATCTAAAGCTTGTGAAGAATTTAATGGCAAAACAATTATTGCAGGAGAGAACTTTATATAACTAATAATGATCAACAAATCTCAACCAAGCTGTTGCAAATTGAAAAACCCATCCAACAGAAAGGGGATATCCACCCAAGCAGCTCATCACGCTCCTTGTTCTACGAAAAATAATAGTTAATTTTTTTTTCCAATTAACATTTCTTACAGAATCCAACCACAAGTTATATAAAATCAAATATTGATAAAGTAAACTTCATACCTTATAGATACTTGTTCTGTCGAGCCAAACAATTTGATTGAGAAATAAGAAAGTCAATAATAGTGCATTCTTTGACTGAAAGAAAAATTAATGAATTCATCACAAAAATAGAGTCAATTAAAAATCCAAAGGAGAAACTATAGGAAAATGTTTCTCTATAGTACAATCATACCTTCCCCAGCAAAACAAGTGGAAGGGGAGTTCCTTGAGGAACTGGGCTAATAAGAGCATGCAAATCCTTGACAAACTGCAAATTAACAACGTAAAGCATAAATCAAGCAAGATTCAAGATTTGTAAGAGTATAGATCAAAGAGCAGCATACCAGATTATAGATTGTTGTGAAAACT